AAGAGATCTATCAGGATTAATTAGTTCTCGCAGCAGCCTCCGCAGGAGAAAAGGAAGGTCCTGCGCTCTCTGTTGACAAGATTATTGAAATTTATAGAAACAGATTAGAAATGCAGGACATAACGATCTAATATTCTCAATCAACTATGTATTCTTTTCATGTAGTTGACAGAGTACAGAAACTGCAAATATTTTTCAGCAAAAAACATATCTGCGCATGTTCATGTGCTGGTGCGCGTGTGTGCGTGTGGGGCATGTGGGGGCTGTGGGTGTGTGTGTGCGTGCGCGCGCGCGCGTGTGTGTGTGAGTGCGTGTGCACGTGTTGTAGCTCTCACTACTCATTGTATTTCAATAATTCAACCGTCTAATTTTTCAGTCTTCCCTCAAAGATCATCCTAACAAAATATCACGGAAACCCTAAACTTTTTGACTACTAAGTGGAAGGTTTGTCACTTTTAGTGTTTTCTAGATGTATCATGTTTGTCTATTTTCTTGACTTGAATTAGATGGCTAAACGGTCGGATTTGTCTCATATTTTGGGAAGATGACCTTTGAATGAAGAACTCAAAAATAGACTGTTCGGATTATTGATATAAAATATGGACCGGGCCCCACAAGGTTATTTGATGGATACATATATTCATTTACCTGAATAAGACTTCTGGAATGACCTCCAAAAACACGATTGTACCTTTCAATCTTGCCTAAAATCTCCGCAACCTCCGGCCTATCAAGCTGCCTTGAAGAAGCCCTACGTGGAACCAACAAAGTGATGGGACGACGACATAGTGGGCATTTACAAGGGCGAACTGTTGATCCATGATCCCAAACAAGCATAATACAATTTCCTGAAGAAAGGGAGCCAACGATGCATTATTAGCTATTACTTTTTTTTTAATGACTACTCAATTTGGAGTTCAAGCCTTGTAGATTATATGTAATGGAATCTGATACTTGCATGTTCGTATATAGTAAGAGTCCTGCTAAGTCTATTATACACTCACAATGTTATACTTGATCCGTTATCTTACACAGAGTATGCAGTGTATACTAAATAGAACATCACACCCATTCAGTTTAGGTAATATAACAACAGTCGTACAAAAACTATGGAAAAATATTCTCAAGTAAGCATGTTGGGGACTTTGTAACCACTTTGGGTATCCATAGTCTGTATAATCTATTCAAACAAAACAATTTCAAGCAGAGATCACTTTTACGTACAATAGAAGCAGTAAACTTATCAAACAAAAAAAATCCTTACAGTGTGCATGGAAGAGGGAATTTTTAAGTTCCATGTAATTTTCGTTCAGAATGCGCTACAAAAATTACATAAAGGGACTTGAAAATCAATAGATGCAATAAATTTGAAAGTACACTTGAGAGAACTTCCAAATTACTCCTTGAAAGGTGTCATTTGCAGGTGTTTTAGTAGTACCTTTAAAGTGCTTAAGTAGTTCATTGATAGCATTCTTGTGATGCATTTTAACAATTGAGTATAAAATCCCTTGACACTTTGAAGGTCTCTCATCAAAACATAAGGTTAAAGCCTAAAACCTAAGCGCGGGTGATGTTCTCTAACTGACGCAGCACAAAATAGCATTACACCTCTACATGAATGCATGAATGAGTTAAGGCCCTGTATCATCAAGTTCAAAACATGATCATTTATACATATAAATATATATAGGCACCATGGGCATCCACGATTTATAACCAGACCTGGAATTACGCTAGGAAAAACTAGCTATATCAGATGTTAGTTAATAGGCACTATGGGTACCCGTGGATTATAACTAGACTCGGAATTGCCCTGATCAAGAATATCAAGTCCATTCTACTTGGAATGAAACGGACACTGGGAGCGGAGCAGGGATTTTTTTTTTTTTTTTTTTTTTTTTTTAACATACAAATTTCCTTTGCCACATTTTTACAATGCAAGTCTTGGAAACCTACACAAACGTGTTCTTTCTATTCACAGAACTCTGCAGAGTAGAATTACATGTACACAATGACATTCTGTCTTGACTTCTCTACATATCAATAAGAACAAGAGACTAATGATATCAAACGAAAATGACTATTATCGAATATCTACTGCGGTTTCTGAGCTCCATCTTCGGCCCTCTTCTTTGTTTTCACCAAACTTTTAGTTTTCACCAAACTTTTAAGTTAGCATAGGCTGCATAGCTAAGCTAAAGACTTGTTTCAACGAAAACGTCATAGATTGCTCGAAATAAACACCCAGTTTGGATTTGGATTATAAGTCCCTTCACTCTAAAGACCAAATGACATCGAAAGCCCGCCGCTGCTAAAATCTTCTGATTAATCAATCAAGTCTTTCAACACAAGCATGCTTAAACCATGAATCAATCGTATCAAAACAGGAACAAAAGCATGCTTGAGACAAAACACAAACACAAACACAAACAATTGAATGGAGAAATTGAAGACAAATTGGGTTTAGGGTTCTTTCGATTGCACCAAACCAATACCAAAATTGGTCAATTGTGTAAGCTAAGAAATAGGAACGAGAGAGAGGGAGGAAGAAAGGTACCGCAAAACCAGTGAGAGCAATTGGCCTGACAAGGAGTGTCGAAGTTGCCATGGCACACCGAACACAGATCGCCGCCTGGAGGGCCGTCCATTCCGATCTCGCATTCGCCTACCCCGCCGTTACTTCAATCCTTGGAAGATATTCTGAAACGCCCTTAACCATGACGTGCCACACAAAAGGATCGCCACGTGTCGCCGCCCAGGACCCGCAGTATCTGTAATCGTCACATTATTACACACGGATTGGATCGGAAATAAGGTTTTCTGATTTTTAATCGTATCAAAAGTTTTAAAGTGAACATTTTTTATATTTGAAATTTTCGGAATCAGAGTTTCTTCAGAATATTCCGAAATGTGGTGAACGAACTTCACACAAGCGTAAAATTATTTTAAAGTCTATATAATTATTAAATTAAAAAAAAAAAAAACAAATGAGACTTTGTCATACTGATGTGGTGTATGTTAAAGGCTTTCTTATGTCTAAGTTAGATTTAAATGTAGGAAATGAATCACAAACTATGAGTTTTTTGGTTAAGGAATAGTTATCTTATCATGAAAATGAACATGACTTTACATAGTCTAACATGAGCTTGATGACGAGAGATATAACGAGGGGCACCAATTAAGAATCTCATTTAATACCGACCCGTAACAGCATAAGTGATTATGACCTATGTATGGGGATATGAGTATGGTAAGCATTATCTTTTGAAGATCTTCCTAGATCTTTGCTTTGTCAACCCTTATCTTGCTTTATCAACCCTTCTGAACTGATCCCATATGTGGAATCCCCTTTTGAGCCTTACTCGGGCCTGCTAATCCCTAAACCCAAATTTGTTGAGCGGATATGGCCCAAATCTTCAACTTGATCTAAGTTTTTGCAAAATTTAATTGGAATATTGTTACTAGCTACTTATGGTGTGTAAAATCTGTTAAACCAACTGGTGATTGAAGATTGCTAGAGAAGCCTTAAATCAAGGCGATTGAAGATCGTTCCAAATTGGAGCCGCTAAAGATTGTACAAAATAATGTGTTTGGACTCACGCAGATATCCAAACACATCATTTTATACTATCGTTATTCTAGCATTTTTCTCCTTAGGTTTTAGTTCAACTAAAGTCGTTCTTATTTTTCTGCTGTAGTTCGTTTCAAGTTGTTCCGTTTCCAGCACTTTGATTTCCTAGTAACTAGTCTTAATTCATTTGTATAATTTGTCCAAAATAAATGAGATTGTTTGGCTCCTTCTACTTAAGGAGTCATTCATTTTTAAATGGTTGTGTGACATTATTTTATTATAAAACAAGTCACAATCAGAATGGTTCATCCGTTTTATACTAATCTAAAAATCATCTCTTGAAAAATCTATTCGATTGGAGACCATTTAGTGATCTGTTTGAGTCAAACAAATTGTGCCTTTAAGTTGTCTTGCCCGAATTACTACTTTACTACCTTGTTTTGCTTCCATGCTTAAATTACCAATATGGAATTAGTTTCACGTGTAACCCATTACAAGTAATGATAGAAAAACTAAATGTGTAAATAAAATTTTGTAAACTAAATGACATGGAAGTTGATGATTGGATTATTACTTAAGTATTGATTAATGTGCTTATTTTTTATTAGTGACACATCATTGCAAATTTAATTTACATAACATTACTCCTCATTATATGGTGGTCTCATGTAAAGCGGAGAAATTTGACAAAATCAAATAGAACTTATATTAAATAGTTTCACTTGTAAAACAACGAGAATTTTACTTTTGTGAAAGGAGTAGAATTCTCTCCTTTTTTTCTTTTTTCCCTCCCCTTCCCTCCCTACCTATTTGAACGGTCACGGTTAAACCACGTCAACATCTTATATTAATTTTTTATAGCAAACGAAAGACAAAATAAGAGAATGTGAGAGGGGGGATGGAAGGGGATGGGAAGAGGAGGGGAGAGAATCATAGTCCTTTGTGAAAAGGTTTGTTGATGACCCAAAATCTCGACAATATCAATGTTATTACTTAGGGTAGTGTTATCCATACATTTATTTTTACTTCTCACACATCCTCTCAATTTTCGACCGTCAAATTGAATGAATTGAAAAAGATCAATGACAAAAAATTACCAAAGATATGCGTGAGGTAAAAATGTGTGTGTGAATAACATTACCTAGGGAGCATTTTTGCTTACCATTATTGTGGTGTATATTCATCATCCTATTTATCACAGTTAGATGAGTTTGAATTTGAAGATTCATGTAGTGGATAAGCGCAAATCTCAAAATTTAAATTCATCTAACAGTAATAAATAGGATGATGAACATATACTATACTAAACGGTAATGAGCAAAAATGAACTCCTTCACCTATTACTTATCAGCAAGTGGTCGATGGCCCAGTATGAAATCCTTACAGCTTAAGGTAGGTCCCCCCACCCCACTAGAAGTAGGGAAATTAATTTTGCGGCGTACGTTGGTTTGAAGAAACAAAGATCAAACACAAGAGGAAGAAGTGTCGTGGAGCGAAACAACTGCAAGTGTTGAGGAAGGAAGGAAGAAAGGAAGATGAAAGATATGAATTGGCTGTTATACTCAACTGGAAGTGGAAGTGGGAAGCTACCAACGCCACAGCCGTCGTCGGCGGCTTCCATGTTTCTCAGAAACAAAACAAAAACAAGAAGAAGCAGCCTAAATCATCGATTCGATTTCCTCTCAACATTTTCTGCTTCTCCTCTGCGGGCCGCCGCCGCCGCCTCCTCCTCAGTACGTTCTTATTTACGTTCCTCCTTTTACTTTACACCTGTTTCTTCTTCTAATTAGATAGAGATGGAGGGACTTTGAATTAGTTTGGAATGCTATTATAAAAATTAGATGCGAGGACTCTGAAAATTACTAGTTGCTATACTTTTGAAGACACCTTTCAAGGTTTAATTCGAAAAGTGTAGTGCATTTGGAGAGTGTTTTAGTGGTATTTAAGTAGCTCACTGTTAGAGTTTTTTAATGCAATTTATGACTCGTTTGGAAGTGATTTTAAAATAATTATATAAAAAGGAAGTGAATTTTAGAAAAGCGCTTAAAGTGCTTTATGCTAGAAGTATAGTTATATGCTTCATCTATAAAGCACTTCCAAGTGCTTTTGTAATCCAAAATTATTTTCCATAAAAAAGCTTTCATTTATCTTAAAATACTTCCAAACGAGCCTTTAAGTTTTAAGTAAGGTTCTAAAAGACGCCCCGGACTAGCGCCTAGGCGCCTAGTTGGGGTCTAGGCAGGTGCCTATGCTGACTAGCTGGATTTAAGTAAATTTATTATATTTTGTGTATATAAGTGTTTGTTTATACTTAAAATATATATAATTTCTTCATAAACTACAAAATAGAATGACATATATATTATCAAGTATTGAAACATAATGAAAACATGAGGAACAATTATGTAATGTGTGTTCATTTTACTATTAAGCACGTCTCTTACAATTTATTGAAAAAATGAAATACAAGATGAAAGTTATCTATTTTCTATCTAAGTAAGTCGTAATCTAAGCAGGTGTCTAGGCGGATCTGGGCGGGCTAGGAGGGTGCCTCATCAAGTCTAGGTGCTCTTTCCTAAATTTCAAATGTCTAGGCATTAATCGGGATAGTGGCTAGCTGCCTAATGCCTAGGCAAGGCCTAGACGGTGCTAGGCGGGATTTTTAGGACAGTGGTTTTAAGAAAGCATAGCAGACTAAAGTTGTTGGGACTTGGAAAGTCCCTCGTCCAAAGATGGGAACTGAATTAAATCTACAAGAGGCTTAAGGTATCATTAATAAAAATAAAACTCTTCACTTTTGATTCTCTACATGCATCTTCATCATATGATTGCCAGGACAGCACAACTGCAGCCTGCTGCAGTTAGCTATTTGATTTTCTGTGCTGCTGTGCGTGTTGTTCTACCTTGACTGTAAAGTGTAAACCTCAGTTTATGTTCAGACGCAAGGCAACGCAAGTCGTTGGAGGTCAGCTGCAGCGAGTACAGGCACAAGAGTTGCTTGTAGCCTACTAAAAGCGGAAGACAACGTAAATGACGACGAAACATGTGAGCTAGTCAGTGGATTTGAAGTTTCAGTTGACGGCGAGGGTGTTGCCGGTACCATCAACGCTTATCTCTTCAAGGCAGTCAAAAACAATAACGGAATTGGGATACTTCTCTTGTCTGACATCTTTGGCTTCGAAGATTCATCCACCAGAGAGTTTGCATATCGCATTGCCTGCAACGGTTACAAGTAACTACATTTTCTTAACCTTAAACTGCCATGACTATATCTATGCACAATTAAGTAGTTCCTCAAGTTTCTTTTTTTATACGTACAACAATATGCAGCGTTTTACTTCCGGACCTTTTCCGCGGAGATCCATGGACAAAGGACCGCCCGAAGGTTGATTTTGAGAAGTGGATTGCTGAACAAGAAGCTCAAGGGGTTGCGAAAGACATTGCCGCGTGTGCAAAATGGATGGTTGATGAGTTTGCAGCTGCAGGGATCTCAAACAAGCTTGGCTTGATAGGTTTTTGCTACGGAGGTGGCAAAGTGATCGAGGTGTTGGCGCAGGACCAGGGCGCTTATTTCGGGATTGGGGTCTCATTCTACGGAACAAGGATGGACGACACATCTGTAGCTTCTAATGTGAAGGTTCCTGTATTGTTTATTACAGGGGACAACGACCCGCTGTGTCGTGTGAGCGTGGTAGAAAGTATTGAGAAGATCATCGGCAGGGGATCCAGGGTGGTGAGTTTCAAGGGGAGAGGCCATGGCTTTGCGCACCGACCTCAGTCGTTTGAAGAAGATGAAGATGCAGAGAAAGCTTTCACTTTGATGAGAAATTGGCTTGATGGCTTGCTTGCAATTGCAAATGCAGGTTAATTAGATATTGCTTAATCAAGTATAAATCCTTCATTACTGTATCTGTCTAATTAATCACAAGATTATACAAAGTTTATTAAAACCTTTGTTTTACATCTCATTCCTAATTCTTCGTTAATTTCCTCGTGTAAACCTTCCACATAAACTACAGTCAATTTGGAGATGAGATTGGTGAAAAATTAGCACAAATGTAACACCAGGTAGCATGTTCGCATGGTGTTACGAGTTAACACAGAAACGAGTCTATAATTCATGGGACTCTACTCGATCGGGCTCCCCAATTTTCCTACAAAGAATTGGCATGGGCCATAAACTACATGGTTCAACAATTGCTTATGCATTTCTTGTTGCTCGGAACACGGTGCAGCCCGAAACTGTTGTCACCAAGTTAATAAGAACCTGAATCGATTTCCACGGAAAATACCCTCGCAAGAACAGTCACGCGAGGTGAGCAAATAGCGTGGTAAATGATAGGCAGATGGTTCGACTGAAAGGCACAAAGCATGTCGTCTCACCAAGGGTTACAACCAACAGGAGGGTCTTCAACCATTAACAACATATTACTGATTTCAGTCTTCCAAAACCCTCGACATTGTCATATGAATCCATGTTTTCTTATGAACAAATACCAAAGCAGAATACTAATGAAGTGTTCAGCATCGCCAAGGACAACTACTAGGATTATCAGCAAACGACGATGCACATAATACATACTGATGAGTTTCCTTTCGTTTAGTCATCAAAGACACCAAACCCGCAATCGCAATTATTTTTTCCTTCCACAAACTAAGTTTGTAGAGTGACAGCATTACAGAACGAAAGGCAATAAATTTGTATTAAGTCTGAAGTGGATCAGGTGAAATCTTTATCAATCAAAAACAGCATTCGTACTACATATTCAAATCCGTAGCAGGCATAAACGCGACCAACAGTCAAAAAACCTCCTATTTGAATCCCAAGACTGTGGGTTAACTTGACTTTGCATAAACTCAATCTTGTCCGTCCTGAAAACAACAGTAAAAACGACATCAAATAACTTCCATGCACAATTCATCCCTTCAGTAATTGACTTATGTTCATCCTCAAAACAGAAAAGAGACCGAAAATGTACATTAGTTTCAAATAAATCAACATGCTGAAAATACACTAACTTCAATGGATTGAATTTTTCACTGCAACAAAACTCATTTTAATCGACATGCTAAAATCATACACTCTCCTGCAAAATGAGTATGAACCAAGAAATGAACCTACATCATTTATCACAAAGTACAAAGAAAAAAAACCTCCAAATGACAAGGTCGTCGCACATCAGAGATATAGTTTTCAAACAATAAAAAAAGTTGAAAATAATTATAGGATTTGAGGCTTAAAAGGAAAATTTTGGATGCTTCATTCAAATCGGTCTTTCTGTTTGGTTCATCAAGGAAAGAATTAGAAATTCACCGCAAGATGTTCACTAGGTGCAAGAGGAAACCAATGGAGTGAGTTGCAAATAGGTTTTCCAAAGCTACACATATTGAAGCTTATGAGCTCTAGGTCTCCTATGTACAAGCTACAGGCCATGGAGTAAGTACATACGGAACCTCACAGAGCTGCATCCTCAACCCAAGCAAGCACCTGATCATCCAGTTTTGGTGAGGAAACTTGAGCCCACGTGTCGAGAAATGAGTGAGAAAACATCCACAAGGGTGAAGTCAAACGAGTCAAGGCTCATGAATAGATGGAGGCACCCTCCTCCAGTAATGTGTTTTCCTTTTTCCTTTTCTATTTCTAAAAGATTAGTGAGTGTATATGTTTTGGTTTTTGAGTTTTATTACTATGTATGAAAAGACAGCCTTGCCTATCAATTGTTAATTTGAGTAATCTTCCGTTAAAAAGGAATGTTGGTGGAATAAATCAACGTTGTGGGGTATGAGTGGAATAAATCAACATCAGAAGAAATCAAATCTACCTGAGGAGCAGGATTCTCAACAATCTTAGGAGCAGCCGGCTTTGCTGGAGATCCCTCAAACAAATGAGAGCACTCTGTGTATGCAGATCCAATGCCCAATCCAGCACCAAAAGCTACAGAAGCCCAACGGGACACCGGACTTCCTAGTAAGACACAACAAAAATACATTTATTAATTCAAGATTACTAATTATGAGAGATTTAAAACATATATATACAGTTCAAATAAATGAAAGACATTGGTCACATGCGAAAGATAATTAGATAAAGCATCCAACGAACTAAATAACCTCAAAAGGGCTAAAGAAAATGTAGAATATATTATTACTTATGTTTTTATGCCTTTGAAAGTCAAATCATACCCTTGTCATCTTAAGAATTATGATACATATTACATAGACTTGGACAAGAATATTAGATGAAGCTACATGTCCATGTGTTCAGTTATTCTGTTTTTAAAAGATTACCAATGACATCGGAGTGTCTAGTTTCATTTTATCATGGTCAGGTCCTGTCACAGTAATATGGCAGGGAAATTGGTTGCATCTACCAAATTACTGGTATGATTTCTTTCAAGGTATTAGACAGGCTCTAAGTCAATTTCCATTAGAAGCCACTAAACATTGCTATACAGCATGCTTGGTTTTAAGAAAATGTGCAAAAGGAAATTATTTTGCGACGATAAAAGCAACATGATCGACCCACTAATATCCTGAACCTAAACTAAGAATTGCTAGAGATAGGATAAATGAGGACGGTAGACGTCATACTCAACATAGTTTCAGGCTGGCCAATGACCATCCAGCCTGGTTGCATTTAGTCTCCGCTTCAATGGAGATCATAAGTTCAAATCTCATGAATGACAGGACAGTTTATTAAAGGGAAAAAAGATAGCCTTTTGCAAATTTTTTCCTTTCATAATCGCCCCAATACCCTGAGGAATGGTAATAAACCAAATTAAAGCCACTAAAACACGAACACCTAACCCGATAAAAGAAGGCAACAACATTACTTTGACATTAGCCGCCAATGAATCATAATTTACATCACATTTAATGTTATCCAATTAATCAGTAAGCTCTATTCTACATAGAACAACATTGAGAAACATATAAAGTCGAACCGAAGAAAATAGCTGGAAATCCTAACCCTCCATTTGTCTGATGTCACAAAATACAGGAACATATATGCATTAATTCGGTCCAGAAAAGTACTAAGAATCGCTCGAGTTCATTGGGCATAGCCAGTTTGTACATATATATACATGTATGTATGCCTACGAACGCAATTTAAGGTTCCATGTAGGTCAATTCAATCAAGTAAATATGGAGTGTTCGTGTTCGTGTTCGAAATAATTTTGGGCATATTCCAAATTGCAGTGAAAAAGATTTCGCCTAATCATTCCAGCTAAACCCATCAATCATCATCCTACTAACTAACTAATCTTCCAATTATTTGCACATATACACACACACACATGCATACATATATATTCATATAGATATATAGATATAAATGTATACATAAATACATATATATATATATATATGGAAATTGTCTTGGAAATTGCAGAGAAGCAAAACGGAGAAACGAGAGAAATAAAGGGAAGGAAATGGGGAGAAGAGGAAGACAACTGACTGAACAAAAGGAGACCGCCAAAGGCACCACCCAAGGAGGAGTAGACGAAGCGCCGGATGGTCAGATCGAGACAGGCGTCCCATTTGGCGTTCACGTCGTACGGCGGTGGGATGATTTCTTTGTTGTCCGCCATTTTAGCCACCTGAATTTTCTGCTTTGATTCTTTTCTTCTCTCTCTCCCTTCTCCTCCTCTTGCTTTCCGCCTTGGTTTTGAGATTTTGTGTGATTTGGTTGGGGCTGTGTCCGTCGTCCGTCTTGGTTTCAAGCTGCACCCTTTTTGGGCTTTAGTTGCATAAGTACATGGGCCTCTTCAAGCACTTACAGTAAAATTGATTTTGGATTCAAAAGAATTCGTTTGAAAGAAGCATGCGCTTCTTGTGAGAAGCATTTAAAGTGCTTTTTTAGAATTTACTTGAATTTTTTATTAAAGATTTGTTCAAAAACATTTACACTAAAAACACTTTTAGTTATTTTAAAAATATTCCCAAACGAGCCCAAAGTAACTAAGCCTCCCCAAAATTTTACATCGTCTTCGTCGGAAAATTTGAATTCTTCAATTGTTGAAGCAATTTCCAAAACTCAGAAGTCCCTATTTTCATAGCCATCCATTCTGAATCTATGGAATTGGAATCAGATTTGAAATATTGTTGAATTCGTAGAATTGGATTGGATGGATTTAAAAAAAAAAAGATTGGATGGAATTGGGTTTGTAAATTTAATAGAGTTTTATGTAATTGGATTTGTTGAGTTTTCTATGTTCTTTTTCGTTCAAGTTAAATTTTGTTGAGATACACGGCGATGACGATTGGATTTTCCAGACGGGAGCATACATGAAACCATCTTCTCTGATTTATTTTATTTTTTATCAATAATACTTTGTTTAGGTGTAACGTGAAATGTGTAAGTAAGTCTAACTAGTATTAGATTTAATTTAACGATTTATATAAAATAGGTCGTCACAGGTCGAGAACCTTAAGTTAGCATCGTTGTATTTTTTTCAAACAATAAAATATGTATGAAAATATTATTAGATTAAAATCAAAACCTAAGTACCTAAGTATTATCCGATCTTCATTGGGCATAAGATTCCAGATTGAGCTGAAGCATCCGTCCTGACCGTGCAACAGACAAAACCAAACAAAACCAAACAAAACCAATAGGATCCTCTTTCCGGATCTTTTTGGTTAGAATTTTTGGAATTTGTGAATTATGTCTGTTTAACGTATATTGTGTGATCAATTTTTATCAAACACTATTTATATTTAATTTTAAATAAAAATATTTAAAATAATTTATGATCGCACGATATATCCGGATCCGGCGAGGATCCAAATTCGTGAAACTGTCGCTTCCGTTCCGTTTGTGTCTCTCTTTATGTTTTTGTCAACCGGTAAATTTTGTTAATTTAATTGTCAATGGGGTTCGAACTTACATCACGCTGTTACGTGAGGACTCAACGCCATTAGTGTGTTAGATGCCACTTGCTCCTTCTCCATTGTCATCAATATATCTTCCTTCTGCTTCTTAACAGTAAGCCCACCAAACTCCTCCTTTCCATCTCCTTCTTCAAAATGGCCGACGAAATCCCCAAACCAACACAACCATCAGACCAAGCACCACCGCCAAGGCCTCCCACCACTTCCAAGTTTGAATCACAGGCTTTGACGGTAGCTGAGTTTAAAGAAGACGCGCCCCCACCACCACCGCTGCCAGAAGTGGCAGAGTCTGGGAACGAAGAGGCAATTGCACTGTAAAACTTAAGAATGCTCAAGAGTTCACGTTAATTGCCTACCTCTTTAAAGAGAGGCTGCATGTATTTATATTGCATTTCAGATTACATCAGGGAAAGCAATCCCTATTTACAAGGTTTTTCAAAATTCAAAAATTACAACAAACTGGAGAAAAGATATATATCCAAGAAACAACAAACATTTGAAAGAGTTGTAACCTAAGCTAACTCTTCATGGATAAGAGTTTAGAGCGATCACAACTCCCTGAAGTCTTGGAAGTAAGATTCACACACTGACTTGGTCTATCATCCCCCCGCAAGCTAACAGGTGGAGGAACAACGGGAAGCTTGGAAACAAGAAGGTTGAACCTTGTTGATGACAATCCTTTTGTGAACAGATCAGCAACCTGAACTTGAGAACAAATGTAATTAACAACTAACTGACGACGAACCACCTTCTCTCGAACGTAATGGTAATCAACCTCCAAGTGCTTTGTCCGTGAGTGAAACACGGGATTGGAAGCAAGAGCAATTGAGGAAATATTGTCGCACCAAATTGTGGGTGTGTCAAGATGCAAGTACAAGTCTCGAAATAAAGACCTGAGCCACGAAATTTCTGCAGCTGTGTAAGCAAGCTGCCTATATTCAGCTTCAGAACTGGACCTACTAACAGCCTTTTGCTTCTTGGAACTCTAGGACACAAAATTGGACCCAAAATAAATACAGAAACCACCAGTTGAATGTCAAGTATCTAGATTACCAGCATAATCAGCATCAGAATAAGCCGTGAGATAAGTAGAACCAGGTTTGTAGATAAGACCATGATTGTATGTGGCCTTTACATACAGAGGAATCCTTTTTACTGCCTGCCAATGTGTAGTTTTTGGAGAATGCATGAACTGACATACCTGGTTCACAACATAGGAAAGATCTGGTCTCGTGATTGTCAAATATTGTAGGGCACCCATAACACTCCGGTACATCTCTGGATTGTTGTGTGGCTCACCATCATATGCACTAAGTTTGTGACCACTAGGAACTAGAGTAGAAATTGGTTTGACATCCAAAAAAATTGTACGTTTCAGCAAATCCAAAGCATACTTTGCTTGATTGAGATGCATTTGTTGACCAAAATAATTAACTTCGACCCCTAAAAAATAATGGAGTGGACCTAAGTCCTTCACGGAGAATAAAGTACCCAATTTCTTGATCAATCTCGACATATGGCAAGGACTATTCCCTGTCAATAGGATGTCATCTACATAAATCAATAAAATCAAATAGACCCCAAGGTGATTGAAAACAAATAAACTGTAATCACAAGTTGAACCGTGAAACCCTAGTTGAAGAAGAAACTCTGAAAACCGATGGAACCACGCTCTAGGGGCTTGTTTCAAGCCATATATGCTACGTTGTAATTTACACACATGATTGGGATACTGCTGATCAACAAAGCCAGTAGGTTGGCGCATATATACATCCTCCTTTAAAAATCCATGCAAAAAAGCATTTTGTACATCCAGTTGTCTTATGTGCCACCTTTTTGAAACTGCTAAACTAAGGACAAGTTGAATAGTGCTGTGCTTGACCACAGGACTAAAGGTCTTTGTGTAATCAATACCAGACTGTTGATGAAATCCATTGGCAACTAACCTGACCTTGTGCCTCTCCACTAAGCCATCTGCCCTTTTTTTGATCTTGAACACCCATTTGTTTGGCAATATATTCATATTAGGATGACAAGGAACAAGTTTCCACGTACCACAACGTTGCAAGGCATTAAACTCTTGGACCATGGCATCTCGCCATGTTCTATTCGATGAGGACTCATTTCCATTTAAGGAACTCACATCTCCACTGGAAAACATTGATCAAATAGGTATTGCTACATCCCCTGATCTTTTGTTTACTTTTCCTCGATCTTTGATTTCGTTCAAGGAGGAGAGTTACGTAGTGGCCGATCTCTCAGATTCAGAGAGGAAAGCTCTTCAAGAACTGAAGCAGCTCGTCCAGGAAGCTCTCAACACTCGCCAGTTCACGTCCCCAAAAGCTAAACCGCCACCAGCAGCACAGGTTTCCGAATCGGAATCAGAACCAAAACCAACCCATGAACCCAAAATGGAAGAGCAGCCACTGAACGAAGCAGAGGAATTAGCGAAAGAAGCTGCATTGTTTGTGGCTGAGGAAGTGTCCGTTTGGGGAGTCCCTCTTCTCAAGGACGAGAGGAGCGATGTGATTCTTCTCAAGTTCCTGAGGGCGAGGGACTTCAAGGTGAAGGATGCCTTTGTCATGCTCCGCAACACCATTCAATGGCGGAAAGAGTTCGGGATCGACGCTCTTGTGGAGGAGGATCTCGGTGATGATTTGGAGAAGGTGGTGTTTGTTCATGGGTACGACAGGGATGGTCACCCTGTGTGTTACAATATGTTCGGGGAGTTTCAGAACAAAGAATTGTACCAGAAAACATTCTCGGACGAGGAAAAGCGAACCAAGTTTCTCCGGTGGCGGGTTCAGTTCTTGGAGAAGGGTATTCGAAAGCTTGATCTCACTCCTGCCGGTATTTCTAGTATTTTTCAGGTCAATGATCTCAAGAATTCTCCTGGACCCGCAAAGAAGGAACTTCGATTGGCCACCAAACAGGCCCTTCACTTGCTCCAGGGCAATTATCCCGAATTCGTAGCCAAACAGGTGTTACCTAATAAACTTGATTGTTTGTTGATTCGGTATCTCTGCATTTTTTATATGTCTATGTCGAATGTTGAATGCTGATGTTTGTTTGCTTGGTTTGGTTGTGGATAAATCTTGTTAATGAAGGTGTTTATCAATGCTCCTTGGTGGTATCTTGCATTCTACACCATGATCAGTCCGTTCTTGACGCCGAGGACGAAAAGCAAGTTCGTTGTTGCAAGCCCAGCCAAAACCGCAGAAACCCTTTTCAAGTTAGTAGGATTATTCTCTATTGTCTATCATCTTATGTGACAAAGTTCTCATCTCATCCGATATCAAGAACGCTTACTTTGTCGAATGTTTTTTGGTTTGTCTTAGTTTAAATTTCGATTGGCGTATAATGCAGGTACATCTCTCCTGAGCATGTTCCGATTTAGTATGGTGGCTTGAGTGTCGATTACTGTGACTGCGACCCCAAGTTTACCATTGCGGATCCAGTTGCCGATGTTACAATTAAACCTGCAACAAAACAAACTGTGGAAATCATAATATATGAGGTTTGATTGCGATCTCTTTTTTTTTTTTTCTCTACTTTTATTTGATCCATGAACTGTACATATGCATTGGCCAAGTGCTAAATTATTATCCATGGCTCATCGGTTTAATTCATTCGGAGTTGATAAATTGCAGAAGTGCACCATTGTGTGGGAGCTCCGTGTGGTCGGATGGGAGGTGAGCTGTGGGGCCGAGTTTGTGCCCGAGGCGGAAAATGGATACACA